GTTGTTTGTTTTTTTTTTTTTTTTTTTTTTTTTTTTTTAAATATAAATAATTTTTTATAGTTTGCCAATAACATTTCTTATAGTGTAAATGAAGCTGCGTAAAATCTATTAGTAATTTGTCCTTGTTTCACTGCCATCGATTACGTGTTATAATACAGCTGGAGAGCACGTAGGGATGTGACATGTACATACAGGGATTAGACATGTTGCAACGCTGCCTGTAGCACATCCACGGCAAAAACCACCGGCCTTGTGGACCAAACATATATTTTGTGACCTTTTTCTAATTGGACTTGTTTAATAATGGTAACTATATATAGAGACCGAGCAGCCCCCGGGCAATCTGCAGCCTACAAATACTTTCTGCCAGAGTCACAAGCTTGCCACACAATTTCACATGTGATTGGGCTATTGCCATTAGATTGCCCACGGTCTATTCAGTTTCTATCAACTCAGGAGACCCCCTCGCTGCAGCTGTTGGTAAATCTAAAGTAGATTGTACAATCAGATTGGCCAGATTTAGTTTAAGGCTAATCTGAGCCCAGTGTCTTCAAGAATCGGTGAGAGTCTGTGCTGCTTGTCCCTTTAATTCCATTTGCATGGGCAGTCTCACCAACTCATTCAGTGTGGCTTCTTACAGTCCTCTAGTTGCTGTGGGTCAAAAGAGAACCTGATCACCTGTGATTTTGGGTTTCTGCCTGACTGCTCATCTGGGGTTTTTCAGTGTTCTTACTAGTATAGTACTGAACACAAACAAATAGAATAAAGGGACATCTTTATAAAGCAATTAATGTGACTGGTGAATCTTCTTGAGGCATGTGTTTAAAGGAGAACTATGAGGCGAGTGAAAATCACTCCTCCTCATAGTTCGAGCCGACCGGTGACAATTAAACTGTCGCATGTCGGCTCAATAGATCGGGAAGTGAGCAAACACATACTGTCACTCGCTCACTTCTCGATCATCTCTCTGCAGTGACTGTCAGTCACCGCTCCCCGCATGAATTCCCCCCCTCCCCACTCCTGTCCTCCAGCCCTGACTGGAGGAACGGACGGGGAGGGGACGGGCACAGCTGGTTCTGCCTCTAGATAGGCAGAGCCCGCTGTCACTCACGCAGCTGGGTGGATCTCGACAGTAATGTCGGGAATGGAATTCATCCCGGCTGCAGCGCTCTCAGTATACCGTGAGCTGCAGCTCACGATATACTGAGCTTTGGGTCACGGGAGGAGGTTAGTATATGTCCTCCGGCGACCCTTAAGATAACTATGGGGAAAAACACTAACCCCATAGTTCTCTTTTAAGTTGCAGTGATTGCTTCAACTGCAGTATATTTTTGGTGAATGACAAATTCACTGCTTTATAAATATGCACCTAAAGTTTGAGATTAACCCCCCACCCCCACCTTCTTTCTGGCACTAAGCAAGTCATAATACCAAATATTTCTAAGGAAGTAACCGTGCAGGCGTACAGACATTTTGTGGTGCCTAGAAGTATCTGTTTTTAGTCTTCCAATCCTTTGGGATGCTCACGGAATTCTAATCCCGGGCCATACATAAGCCTTGATATATTCTCACTAAAGAGAAAACTGTGAAAAGTCAACAATAATAGAATGAATTTGAAAAAAGGAAAACCATAAGATTAAAAATAATTATAAGAATAAAAAAAAATATAATTTTACCGTGGGGCTCACCACAACTTAGCAACCAAGTATGTTACCAAGGGGTCCCAGCCCTAGGAAGCTTGAGAACCACTGCCCTAAAGGAACCATATAATGGTTTAGAATATATTTGTAATTATTTATGGTCAAGACTAAAAAAAATAGGTAAATATGAAATAAAGCTAATTTATATTCACAGTCAGGAAGTAGAGTCTTGGGCTCCCTTTCATATGTTTAACAGTCTTTCCTGTTGGTTACACTGCTCAATAGCTCAAGCTCTGAGAAGACTCAAGTTAGGGGTTCATGTAGCAGAAGGAAAAGTTCCTGAGGCCACTCTAGGGAGCAGGATTACCTTTTCTGCATACATTTTTGCATGTTATGGTTATTACTTCTGTTGGAAAGTGAACTTGTGCTTCAAAAATGTGTGCTAGGGAATGTATTATGGTTCTGTGTATGTATATGCATGTATGTACATGTGTGTTCATATATA